GATATGGAGGTCCATATAAACCACCTTTTGGGGATTGCTCCATCTACTCTGAAACCACTGTAAGTGGGAGGTAAATTTCTCTAAAAAGACCTACGAGGTCATTGTGGTCCGAGACGCACTTTCTTCATGTTGAAGCCCAGTCCAGCCGGCCGCCTTCGCTTGGTCTTCCTGGGAGTGAAACAATCTTCCGGAACGACTCCGGCAGGGGTTGTATCATGTCACAAGTTCACTTGCCAAATCGCTCAACATTCATCCACTAGCAACATCCAGCAACAATAGTGAAGGTCAAAGCCTGGGGAAGGCTGTGGATCGCCCAACGCCTTGCCACGTCAGGCTCAAGTCACGTCCTTCTTCCAAGCGACACCGCCTTTCTTGTTGCGGCCAGCGCGAGAAATCCTCTAGCAGTGCTGATGCAAACAGCGCCGGCACCGAGAAAGGGCCTGGAAGAAACGGCAGGGTCCCGACATGGTATGAATCGTGTGAAATTCTGGATGTGACTTCACGGATGGATTTGTGGAGAACGAATTATACACTACATAAAATGATGCAAATATGTGCAAATGCTCATCACACAACTGGTGGTTGATCTACTAGAACCATGTCAAAAATAACTAAAACACAAGTCACATGTCTGTACTACACTATCAAGCTACCATCAAGTTCATGGTTCGTTGCGCCATTGGGGTGATGGACATTCTTGAGTGGGTGCCCTGAGGCATCGGATAGCATCGGCTATTAAACAAAAAAGGCATGTGTTCCAACAAGGGCTTACTTCTTTAATCTTGGGGGAAATACATGTTGTGCACCTAATTACAAAAAGCTGCAGCTACAGGTATAATACAGTCACCTTTTTGGGAAGGACTCTTGCTGGAAGTGGGTGGAAGGTATACAGCCTGACCCTCCAACATGAAGATGGAAAACCCTCTGTTCGCAAAGCAATATGGTCCTATTTTCCATGTTAGTGGGTCGTGTGCCGGGTCAGTGTAACTTTAAGTCAAAACAGTCGTCGAGCCGATTTGTCCACCAGTGAGGTTGGACGGTCCCTTAGATTTGAGCCTTCTGTTTTGTGTCCTAGCAGTCACTGCACCGCAACTGTGGAG